ATATATATATATAATATATATATATATATATATATATATATATATATATATATATATATATATATATATATATATATATTATATATATATATATATATATATACTATATATATATATATATATATATATATATATATATATTGATATATATATATTGTCAAATGGCTCATTTGTGAATTTGGTACAAATTTATATTCATTTATTCAAAGAATGTTGAGATATTATAAAAACAAATGTAACTGATATACAATTATACCTTGATTATAATATAGTGAAATCCAATTATACATTGATGCTAATAAAATAAAATAAAATAGTATTATTTTTATTAATATTTCTTAGAAAAATATAAATTTTTAATATTTATTAATAAAAACTTATTTTTAAAATGAAATTTATTTTAAAATGATACAAAATCTTATTCATTTAAATTGTTCACTTTATATATATTTAATTTCAAGTTAATCATTACTCATTTTGAAATATTTTTTTGAAATATTTATTTTAAAATAAATTTATTTTATCATTTTAGATTAAATCATAAATCATGTGAATACTTATAATTTTAAAATAAATTTATTTTATCATTTTAGAATAAATCATAAATCATATGGATACTTATAATTATAATCTTTAGTGATAATTAATGAGTACATAGTATAGATTTCAATTTTCACTCTTCCTTGAGTCACTATCTTTCTTCTTAAAATCATCAATATTTATTATTCACTTTTTCTTCATTATATCTTATTTTTCATCAAATAAATTTTTTAAAATTGAAATAACTTGAAAAAATTTAATTCTAATAAACATATTAAATTCTAACATTTTTTAATTTATTCTTACTTTTTTTCAACGATAATTTCTCAATTATTTTGAAATTTTAGAATGCAAATCATCTAAATAAATTATTTTTAGAAAAAAAACTCTTTTCGTGTGACTTTCTATTACCCAAATAATTAAAATTTTAGAACAACATTATAATTATTTATTTAATTACTAATATTAATGGTTAGATACATATATCAATAAAAGTATAGAAAGACAACATACACCTTATAGGAAAATAACTTAACTATATTATCTATTTGATTATAAAAGTAATCTATAGCTTATATATAAATATAAAAATTTATGAATAAACACTTCATTTTATTATTTACTAAAATATAGTCAAAAATCAATTTTCATACTGGATCCTGAGGCAAATTCAGATTTAGGATGATTAAATTTGCACGCAAATTCAAACTTATAAATTCCATATTACGTATAATAAATGCAAGGTTGTGCCATGTGATTAACAAAACAGAAACATAAGATACTTGATAAATAAAAAGTTGTGAATGTAATCAACAATTATTAACAAAATGGTACATACCGGAAGGCGCATAACAAAAGGGTTGAATTTGAATGTGATAAGTTAGATTATAAACTATTACATCAGTCTCAAATCAATGAGTAGAGTGACAAAATAGTGTCAATTGGATAATATAAAGAGTAAATGCATCAAGTACATGCAATGAAGAGTGATAAACATACTTGTATGTAATGGAAAATGATCTTCTCCTTTCCCATAGATATAAATGCAGAATGAAAAGCTTAGGATATTGTTCCATTCATGATAAAAATGTACAGTTCGAATCAATGGAAGTATCTCAACAAGACAAACAAACAATAAGGAAAGCTCAACCATTTCGTTTCACAGTAGATGACAAACCATTATCCAAATCTAGCAAAAATAAATCAACCTACATTTATCTATCTAAACACAAATTTTTAGTATTTTCAGATAATGAAAAGCACCTAAATGTATGTAAAATAGCTTCATCCTAGAAGAAAACATGATTATTTCCAAAAATGAAATCAAGCACACAATAGAAATAACTGAATCAATGATAGTTAAAAAAGTATATGCAATGAATTTGCTAAAAAATGTTCCTGCAATAAATATATCAGAATCAACAATTTCAAAACGACAATCAAATTCAAGTGCAGTTTTGAGGGATAAAATTGAATATTGTGTAAAATTGAAAATAAAGTCAGTGGAATCTTCATTAAACATATAAAAAAAAAAACATATCATAATCAAATCTACAGCTTCCAAAACATTAACACGTGAAAAAGTTAGTTTTCAGATACTTTACTTTTTATATATTTATAATTATAATAATAATAGATTGCCTATAGATAGAAAAGTGCAACTTATTACTCCCTAAGAAAAAGTTAGTTTTTTAAATATATTTAATAACTAATATATTTGGACAATATAGAGATCAAATTGATGCATCAAATATTTAATGAATCAAACTAATAAACGTTTTCATATAAATATATTTATTATTGAGAACCAATCAATTTATTATTAAGAGAAATTCATTACCAGGACAAAATACTAAAACTTCAACATTCAGATTAAGTTAATAACCAACATAAACCGCAGCATTCACAATGTAGCAATCCTCATTCTTGTCGCCCATCTCTTCCACAAGCACCCCACTTGAGCATATCAAACCGCCGTCCACAACTTCAACATTCAAAATTTTCCCACTGCAATAATGGTGAGGGGGAAGGAGAAGGAGAAGAAAGAAAGTTCAAAAACATCATTATAAAGAATAGATGCGGAAGATGTTATAGAATTTCACTGATGTGGCGGGTACTCACTAGGGAAATACAGACTTGACTTTGTCAATATCTAGAGATTGCTGGAGAGAATGAGGAACCCCTAACTTGATCTGCAATTTCATCTCACCGAAACTGACACCAGGAATGGAACCTACACCAATTTCATCTCATTAGAATAGGGAAAAATGCAAAGTGCTGTTATATTTTAAATAAACTAAGTGCAAGTAACATTCTTTCATTTCTTTACATCTCACGTAACAAAAAATCACAGGAAGATAAAAGCGCATCATTAACTCGTAGAGTCGTAGTTACTAGGAGAATAAACAGTTGCATATAACTTCAAACACAAGTTACTTGGTGGAAAGAAGAGAACAATTCAGGAGACAGACTAAAGCTAGCTACCTGAGCTAAAATGTAAATAAATACTTCTGTAGGCTTATTTATGTTTTTGGAAATTGACATTCCAAAGAAACTACCTGGATCGAGAAATTTGAGCGCAAGACAGTATTACAACATCATGAATCCAAAGGTCAGAATCGAGATCCTACCCATGATCAGAATGGGGTCACAATTGATCGTAGCACGGATCATAAGACAAAATAGTATACATATTTATTTTATAACTTTTTTATTAATATTTATTTAAATAGTGAGCTTATTATTCATAAGACAAGAATGATACTAAATGTTAGAAATAAAAGACTGAATAAGTGATATGAAACCCAAAACAAGCCCATCGTAAAACTTAGGCATTTATATCCGGAGTCTTTTAAGTTATTTTATTGTAATAAGTTGGTCTTTTAAGTTTTTTTTTTGTTACAATTTGGTCCTTTAAATTAACAAATGTATGCACACTTACTATTTTTTATCCTTTTTTTCAATCTTAGATTAAACTAATCACCCAAAATATATAAAGTTGTAACAAAATGTATATATTAGCATCTTAAATACATAAAGTAGCATTCAAAAAATATAAGATCAGATACTAATTCAACAATAAAAAAAACTTAATGGACTAAGTTGTTACAAAAAAAAACTAATCAGTTACAATAAAATAATTTAAAGAACTCCTAGAGTATTTATGCCTATTACTTATTAGAAAGGAGAACAAATGATCAACAGATGAAGGGTTGAGAGGGTCTTACATTTGTGAACATCGGTGCCCATTGTGAACGAGGTTTCCGCCAACTCACCAACATGGTACAATATAGACCAAAACAAACCTCGTCTGGTTCTGTGCTAACGAGGACTCCAACCCATATCTAGCTCAGTTGCTAGAGGAGGTACAAGACTCCCGGGGCAAAACATGGAGCAGCAACAAACATAGAGCAACAGCACCAATGAGAAGAAGCTCAAGTCTAAGAGGCCGAGCTTAGACATCAGCCGGAAGAACGGGACTGAAGAGTGGCTATTCCTCGTCATTTTCGGGAACCCAATATTGACTCTTATGACAGGATGAGTGATCCCAAGAGTCACTTCTCGGCGTTTAGATGCAAATGATGATGAGAGGATTTGATAATGCCTTGAGCTGCAAAAATTTGTTGGTGCTCTGAAGGATGTAGCTCATAAGTGGATTGTAGGGTTGCCATCTAGGTCGGTTACTAGTTTTGAAGATATGGTGACTTGCTATGCTGTCCAATTTGAAGCAAACAGCAAGAAGCCTTTCTTGGTAGTTGATTTGTTTGATGTCCAACAACGCTCGACCAAGTCTCTCTAGTTATCCGGATTGATTCAATAGCGCCACCCTCAAAGTAGCAGATCCAAACGAATATATATTTGTTGTGATCTTTGAAAAAGGTTTGAACTCGGGGACTTCCAGTGAAACTATAACTTTGTGCAAGGCGAGTCCCATGAATGAGATCCAAATGAGGGCCAAGAAGCACATTGAGGCTGAAGAGATCACTCGATATAAGAAGTTTAAGGAAACACAAAATAGGGATCAAACAAACGAGGACCGATGAGAAAGTGTGATGAAAAGATTAGGAAAAGAATGAGTGCCACAGATTACTAGGCCAGATGAGAAGGCCGACTAGGTCATGAGATGACACCTAGGATAAATCTCCCTGAAGAAAATTGCATCCCTTTAAACAAAAAGAGGGCCGAAATTCTGAAGAAGGTGACGAATAGTCAAATTATTAAATGAACGCCACCTAAGAAGCAGATGGCCCGGTGATGGATAAAGTCTTCAAAAATGAGATATAAAGAATAATTGAGGTATATGTGATGGCGTGGTGGTCAAGTCGGATAAAGAAGAGGACCTATCAGAGTAGTCATTATCGGATAGAGGTGCGGAGCGGCCGACCCCAAAAGTGGGATAGCGTATAGTGTGATGATCGCTCTATGTGATCATTTTTTGGACAAAATACATATAATAATTATAAACATATATTTAATGTAGTATTAAACAAATAACTCAACTCAAAAAATATTCATAAATCAAAGCACACATGAATCTTGAAGTGCATAAACAATTATGATCCAGATTAAGGTTGAGTCTCAACTCAAATTTGATTGTAAAACCCAAAATTTTCCCTTAAAACGTTGTAAATTTGAGGAGCAATTTCAATTTTTTAAAGGGAAAAAGGATAGCAGGACAGAAACTGCTCTGGGCCGAGAACTTGTCTGCTCTGCTATCCCGATATTTATCCTATGGCGGACACTATAGTGTACTGCACCGCTAAGACTCTTCCCATAGTGGTCGGTCTCCGCTCCGCACTGCTATAGCGGATAGAGCCGCTATTGACTACTCTCCAACCAATAAGCATGTTAAGAAAACACAAGATTAAGTTGAACCCAAAGAAATGTTTGTTCTGGGTGTAGGCAAAAAAGTTATTGGGTTTCATGTTAAAAAGGAAAGGTATTGAAATTAACCTAGAGAATTGTGCAGCCATCACGGAGATGAAAACCCAACCAACTCGAACAAAGTGCAAAAGTTAACAGGGCGGAGCTTAGCTTACAATTACTTAGAAAAAATTAAAATTCGCCTAGATAGAAGAATGTGAGCAAGCTTTCTGAAATTTGAAACAATCGTAAAACCTAAGTTGGATATTCACTACCTTAATTTAATAGAGATTAACAAAAAGTGTAAAGTGAAAACCCAAACAAGATAATTACCTCTGCGAAAAGCGGGGATTGAATTAGAAGCAATAGCATCCCTGCACGCTCTCATTGCTGCAGAAGTAATATTCTGCCTGTAAAAAGAAAGAAAAAAAAAACATGTCAGCAAAATCAATAGGAAACAAACAAAACAACCAAAAAGCAAGACTGAAACATGAACGATTCCGAACCCGTGTTGGTCGTAGCCGACACCCATTTCCACAAACAAGAGTTTCATTGGTTGGGATGAATCGGAAGATCCTTCAACTTCCATGTGCGCGGTTGTAGCTTGGGTTTTGTGAGAAATTTGACAGGGTTTAAAGTTTGATGATCGATGGTGTGAGAAAGAAAGAGATTTGAGAGGGGAACTGTTTTCGATGAGTGGAATGTGTTTAGTGAAATATTGAATTTGAAGATTTTGAAGTGAACAACAACAACGTTCAGTCATTTCACGAGCAAGAACCTTTTAGATTATTCTACACAGAGATCATCATATTATATAGATCATCGTATCCAAAGCAAGAGTTAAATAAACAATTTTTAAAATAAATTAATTTCTTATTATCTGAGTCAATTTTCAATTATTATATTAAATTAATCTTTGTCATAAAATATTTTATTTTAATTTCTTATGATTTTGTCAAAGAAATGAAAATCAAAGGTAATTTTTATTCAAGAAGCAAAGGGTGTGATACATTAACTCTTGAAGATTTAACTAGTTCCTTCATGAGTTATAAGATGAATCTCAAAGAAAGCCAAAAATAAAGTATAATGCTTTGAAATGTAAAAGAAGGAATATAAACTTAGATGATCTACAAGCTGAAGAATCGGATGGTCAAGATTATGAAGAAGCATTACATGATGACGAAATTTCCCCCTATCTAGAAAAGTGAAACATCTATGGAACATAAGGAAGGAGAGATTCCACAACAAGGAAGTTCAAGTATTATAGAGATTCTAGAGACAATAAGGAAGTTTACAATAATGTTGTTTTTTTCTAAGTGCAAAGAACATGCACACATCATAAATGAATGTCCCAAATTAAAAAAGAATGATTCTAGAAGAGTGAATATGAAGGAAAGGATAAAGGACTCATGTGTACATGGGATAATGTAGATAAATCATTTGATGAAGATGAGAAACATACAAATGTTTCTCTAAAGGACTCAACATCCTTTTGGTGTGCAAGTTGATGACACAATTGATAATGATGATGAGCTATTTTTATTTATCTTATGATAAATTTGTTGTTATCTTGAGTGGGATATTTTAGAGAATGAGTGTCAAATATAAAGATCTTAAAAAGATCTATAATTGATAGTTAAAATATCACAAAATTGTAGAAAAGTGTAGAAAAGTGATTGATGTTTTAAAAAATAAAAATGATTCTCTCAACCATAAATTGTTAGGTGGTTAATACTTGTTACGTAGTTATTTGGGCTTTTAGCATGTATTTGGACCTGAGCATTTTACCTATATAAAGGACCATTATGTTTGTAATCAAGATATGAGTTGCAATAATAATTCATTTAGTTAGAAAGTTAGTTACACTTAACTAACTCACAATATCTCTCTCTTCTCTTCTTCTTCTTGTTCTTCTTGTTTTCTAAAATTCATCTTTCTTGAATCCTTTGTTCCAACAAATTGGTATCAAGAGTTTGTTTGTGATTCAGAGAGAATCTAATGGCAAACGGATCAACAACATCAATACAGTTTCCAGCGAATCTACCGGTTTTCAAAGGTGAAAATGATCAACCGTGGGTTGCGTAAATGAAGGTTATTTTTAGATTTCAAGATGTCGTAGAAATTTTGAATGATGGAATATCAGAATTGGAAGTAGATACTACGGAAGCCCATAAAGCTACGCACAAAGATCAGAGGAAGAAAGATGGCAAGGCACTGTTCTTGATTCACCAGTGTGTGGATTGTGACATATTCGAGAAGATAATTGAAGAAGAAACAACAAAAGAAGCTTGGAAAAGCTGAAATCTTCGTATGATGGAGATGAGAAACTGAAGAAGGTAAAGTTGCAGACTCTGAGAAAGCAGTACGGGATGCTTCAGATGAAAGAGGATGAATTTATTTCTGCATATTTCTCAAGAGTGATAACGCTAACAAACTAGATGAAGGTGTGAGGTGAAGCGCTTACTGTAACGCCCGTAATTTAATTAATTATTTAATTAAATTATTTTTAGAATATTTGTGAAGATGTGTTATAATTAAATTGGATTTATTTTATTAAGTGGAGAAATAATATTAGAGATATACTATTATATGGAGAAATAATATTAAAAGAGTAATATTATTTAATGTGGGTTTATTTTGGGAGAATAGAAGTAATAAGGGGGTGTATTGGTTTTAAGCCCATTAAGGAATAATAGAATAATAGGGTTATTTTATTATTTGTTAGAAGGAATAGAAAGAAGAAGCAGTAGAAAGAAATAAGGATTTGGAAGAGAACGTGCAAGCTGCGTGAGAAAGAGGAATAACGGCCAGAACGAGAATCCAACCGGAAATTGTAGAGCAACCTTCAATCCAAGGTAAGGGTGGGGTTCTGACTCTATAATTGGGTTTATGATGATTGGTATGTGGGGTTAGAGGTGATTGTTGTCTTGTTCTTGAATCGAGAATATATGATTGATGTATGATGAGAATTGATGAATTTTGATGAATAATGATGTCCTGATGTTGTGTAATTGCTGTAGAATTATAAGGTAATTATGGGTGATGAATTGTCATTATTAGATTAAGTTTAGGGCTTTAGGTATGAATCTATAGTGATGAACAGGGAAGAAGAAACATAGAAATATTGCAGTACAGAAAACGCATAACAGTGCAGTTATGAAAAACGCAGAATATGCAGGAAGGATCGTGTGTTGCTGCATTAGAACAATGAATTAATTAGAGTTTGTCATACGATGTCTAGTTGCGTAAGATTAGTGAAAATGTAGCAGTTCTGATGTTAGAAGCTAGGTTGGTTAGAAGTTGCATTGAACCATTAGAAAACAGAAGTTCTGATGTTAGAAGTTGTATTGGTTAGAAGTTATGTTGTCAGAAGATTGTGTCGTCAGAAGTTGCATTAGTCAGAATTTGTATTAGTCAGAAGATGGGATTAGTCAGAAGTTGTGATGATCAGAAGTTGTATCTCGTCAGAAGTTGGGGTTAGTCATAAGGTGTGACGGGTCAGAAGTTGTATCTGGTCAGAGGCTGGGTGATCAGAAGATGGGATTAGTCAGAAGATGTGATGATCAGAAGTTGGGCTAGTCAGAAGTTGTGATGATCAGAAGTTATATCTGGTCAGAGATTGGGTTAGCCAGAAGTTGTGTAATTAGAAGCTGAGTTATTAGAATTTGTGTTGGTTAGAGGTTCTGTGGTCAGAAGTTGTGTTGGCCTTTACGTTGTTTGCGAACAGAACTATGAGCGTTAGATGCTTAGAAGCTGTTGTTTGAGCTATAACAATAGGAATAGTGACGGTCTTGATGTTAGAGTTGCAGAATGGCAGTATTGTTTTTACTGTGGAATTAAATGCTGCAGAGTTGTTAATGAGAAGTATTAATAATATTATGCTGATGAATAAATAAACGATGTTTGATGAATTAATTTGATAATCTGAGATGTTGATTATTTGAGATGTTTTGAGACATTAATTTGAGATGTTTTGAGATGTTAATTGAGATGTTTTGAGACGTTAATTTGAGATGTTCTGAGATGTTAATTTGAGATGATTTGAGATGTTATTAATTGGGTGTTGTTATTACATTCAAGATTGAGTCGCATACATTGTATTTTTGAGATGGAGCTTATGCTCGTTGAGATGACCTGTATTGGCGAATTTTGAGATGAAGGCTTATGCCTTGTTGATGCCACTATTAATTGGCAAATTTTTGAGATGGGAGTTCTGCTCCAATGGTACCACATGTATTTTCATAGTATTGAGTCGCATTATATGATTTCATGAAGAAATGTATTTTGATGTTGATGAATGTATATTATTGTCGAGATTGTCATTGATTATGAGATGAGAAGTGGTGATGTTGTTGATCTAATTTAATATATTAATTATCATGCGCTTTATTATATGTTAGATATCTCACCCCTTCTGTTTGAATGTTTCCCTTATGTTGGTAACGTGCAGGTATCGAGAATGAAGGTTGTATACCTTCAGTAGTTTGAGTCGGTGTCATTGCTCTGATATGTAACACTCGGGGGGATGAACGCTTGCTGATTTTAGATTGTTATTTTTCAGTTGTTGAACTTTAAATTGATTATTATTGAATATGAGATGTTTCGTAGTTGCTGTTTTGTTTAAAGATGTTATTGAAGAATCCGCTGCGTAGATGTTGATTTATTTGATTAAAGATGTTATGTTGATGGTTCATCCGATGTTTGAAAAAGTGCTACGTATCCACGATGAATGCAATGAATTTTGTGAGAAGAATTTGTGACATCCTGATTCATTTGTATGATTGAAATTTTATAACTCTGATTTATTTCGCATAATTGCTTGGGGTAGAATTGGGGTGTTACACTTACGGATCTGCAAAAGATAGAAAAGGTATTGAAGATCTCTAATTGCAGATTTTGATTACTTTGTTGTAACAATTGAAGAGGCCAAGAATATATCTGAGATGAAGTTTGAAGAACTTCAAGCTTCATTGAAGGCTCACGAAATGAGACTGCAGCAGAGAAACTCAGAAAGAGAGAAGGCAGTTGAACAAGCATTGCAATCAAGATTCTACAAGAAAGTTGGAAAAGAACTGTCGAAGCAACAAAAGATCTTGTTGGTGATGAGAAGACAAGCAAGAATACTGATTCGAAAGGTGTGGGAAATAAGTATTCTGGGAAGAAAGTTGACACTAAAGAGGTGCAATGTTACAATTGTCAGGTTTGGCCATTATGCTAGAGACTGTCGAAGAAGAAAGCTGCGAGGTCGAAAGATAGTGATGGAGCTCAATATGCACGAGCTGGAGATAGTGATTCTGATGTGTTGTTGTTGGTGAATGCTCAGTCGACTACTAAGAAAAACAACACGTAGTATCTGGATTCAGGATGTAGCAATCATATGACTGGCAATAAAAACTGTTTACCAAGTTAGACGAGTCAGTCGAAAAGGTGATAAAGTTTGCAGATGGCAGGCATATCAAATCAGGTGGTAAAGGAGATATTTCGATTATCAGAAAGGATGGTCGAAAGGCTACTACCACTGAAGTTCTATATGTACCTTCAATGACAAGTAACTTGATAAGTGTAGTCAATTACTTGCAAATGCTTCAA